TGTTCTGGTGGCTGACGTTTTTATGCAACAGGTTTCTCTGTAGCATGACTTACAAAAGTAAGCCTGGCAGCAACCATGCAAACTGGAATATTGCAAAATCTTCAGCTGGACTCTGAGGGCTCACATTTATAAATGAGTCTTTAATTTTTTTCAAAAAAACCTCACCTGTCCCATATTTCAGCCTGTGTTTAACAACACGCACAGGTTCAAGCTTTAGAGTCTCATGCACTATAGTTTGGTCTGGATGTGTTTTCCTGGATATGGTATTTTTAAGCTTCCCTGCGAAGCATTGCTTAGCTGATTGCTTCTGAAATGGGGGCTACACTGAAAGCAAAAAGGGAAAGCCAGCTACAGGCCGTGCCCAACAAGGGTGACCCAGGTGAGCAGCACAGGTCACACTGCTCTGCCCAGACTACTCCTGCCTGCTTTGTGGGAAACAAAATTTTTGAGCATGTTTTACAACAGGCCTACATCAAAAAACAACATGGTTAGACACCTCCCACTCACATTCCAAATATTGACCTTTAAGGTTCAAAAACATGGGGATTTCCTACATGGGCTGGAGAATAACCTCTGCTAGGGAAGCACAATACAAATCTGGGAACATGATGCTTGTTTACAGGCATTGAGCTGCACATCTTACTGGGAACCTCTTCCTACTATTTTTGCTTCTGCTCAAATGCATGATCCTGCACAATCCAAACAACCTTGCTAGGATCTTGAAAATCCCATTCCCAGATGTGTTTGGCACAGATATAAATGAGTACAGGCTCAGGACAGAAAGGAACATTTGGAATTGACTGCAACATTGCTTAGAGTTTCCATTACGTGTTTTTAATCCTCCAGGTATCTCTAATTTACACCAGGGACTGGGGAGAACCAGAATGATTTCTGCCAGTAGCCTAGGAACCCTGCTGCATGCAGAGACCTGCAGCTCCAAATCCAGCCGCCTACTTTATTTAATTTTCTCTAGGTTTTAACAGGAGCAGCAATGAAGTAAGCTTCACTGTACCATGCCTTGCAAGGACAAGTGGACCATGGGAATGTGCCTATTGAAAACACAAGAGTCTGCAGGACTCTTTTTAGCAAGGCCTGTTGTGACAGGACAAGGGGTAATGGTTTTAAACTAAGGGAGGGTAGATTTAGACTGGATATAAGTTTTTTACAACGAGGGTGGCAAAACACTGGAACAGGATGCCCAGAGAAGTGGTAGAGGCCCCATCCCTAGAGACATTCAAGGTCAGGTTGGGCGGGGCTCTGAGCGACCTGATCTAGTTGAAGATGGCCCTGCTCACTGCAGGGGGGTTGGACTTGATGGGCTCTAAAAGTTCCTTCCAACCCAAATCATTCTCTAATTCTGTGTGTGACAGTAGTTGGGGGAGACCCACATCCCTAATTTCACAGCATCTTGTCCAGAGATGCTGCCCACAAATGCAGCAGCTGCCAGCTTTGCATCAGGACAGGGCCAGGCACAGGCAGTCACTTGGGGGTGCCATCAGCCTTCACAGAGGGTCATCCAGACCCCGGGGGCTGTGGCAGGCTGTCATATCAGCTCCTAGCCCTGCTCTCTACCTCAACAAGGTCATCACAGGGACCCCATGTCGAGGCATGCACCTCTGCCTACAGTGGTCGAATGCCAAAACCTCTGTACTCAACCCACCTGTATAAGTTGCCAGGGTAGAGCAGGCCCATGGCATGGTCTTATGAGCCCCAGGGAAAGTACACTCTGAAAAATACACCCTGTAAACATTGTGGTCCTACAGGCAACACTGTGGGGAAGAGCAGGCACCTGTGCTGCCTGTTCCCCACAACAACCCCAAATGGGATGGAGGTAGGGAGATAGAGCAGGGCACCAGTGGCCATCGGAACAAGACAGACAGTAAGGGAGGAGAGCACTACTCATTGCTATGGTTTCTAGAAACACTCTCATAAAAACCAATATGGCAGTGAATGAATGGCATGTAGTGAGGCTCACCTAAGTGGTGGTGTCAGACTATCTCTGCTCTGAGTCTCTCCTCCTGCTGAGCGCCCCTCGCGTAGCTGGAAGGAGCAAAACTACTGAAGACTCCCCTCTTCTTTGTCTCTGATTTATTTTCTTTTTTATGATTATTTATTTTAAGGAGCACTCAAAACCTGGGATTTATTTTATTGAGCTCACGTGCAGTGGTGTTGGCCCAATGACAGATTTCTCAGGCCAGCACCCATACTAACAGCTACCCCAAAAGGAAATTCCTTTTTGGACAAAAAATTCCATTTAGGATGAAAAACTAATTTGTGCTGTTCATTGCTTCATTCATTCTTTGTTTTTTAAGTGAAAAGGAAAAGAAAGAAATACCTGCATCCTTTGAAAGTTCTGCAATATCAGAATACAAAGTTGCAGCCGGTTATTCACCTGGCAAGAAGAGCCGTACCAGCCATGGTGATTTCTCATTTCCTTGCTGGGAAGGAAGTGAGAGCACCACAGTTCAGTTAAGAGCCTCCTGGGACCAGAGGAGGATGCTGAGGGAGGACACGGAGGCTGGAGAGGGGGAAGGAGTCCTCCAGGCCTCTTCTGGCCAAGGGCACTTGCTGAGCCTGAGTGCCCTACGCAGTTACCAAAAAGACTAGCTAGGTGCTGGCCTCAGGGAAGTAAACACATGTACAGGGAAACCCCAGATAATTTTCAAGGGTTTGCTATATAAACATGTTAAAGACATTAAAGTAATCCGCTGGCAGAAAGCAAGCAGCTTATTTCTTTTGGTGTATTTGTTTTAAGATGCCAATCAAACGCTCTTTCCGCAGCAAAAAAACTCAGTGGTAGATTTGCCTTTGTGCACACCGTTGGGATAGGGCCCAGGAGGTGACAGCTGGCAGATAAGGACTTAATTAATGTCCAGTCAGAGGCAGGAGGAATGAATGTTATCAGCAGTTCCACCTGACTCATGCGATGGTCTGATAATCTACTGAGAACTGCTATGGAGGTCTGAAAGCAGTGCTGTACCCTCCTTGGGATGATGGCTTTCTTTTCCTACACGGGCAACATTTCAGCCAATCTCACCCCCTGCACTGTGACTAGAAAGCTGATAGAAAAATTACTAATGGCTTCTCTGGCCCAGGCATCATGATGAATGTCTGATAGCACTGTTGAAGTCGCACACAAGAAGAAAACTGGATTTTTAAGTTTTAAATCTGATGTTTTCTCCCAGTGATGGAGGTAAAAGGGGTGATACGAACTGCGAGTGCTGGAACACAGCTCTCTTCTGCCTGCAGCTTGTTATCTTGTGAAATGAAGGATAAACAAAAAGTCTGGTTTACAAACCATGACTTTCTATGAGAAGAGCCATCAGTACGTTAAATAGGGATGTGCATAAATAAAGTATTAAAAAAGTTAAACAGCAGGAAAATGAGCTCTATTATTTTTTTCTCTTGTAGACCAAAATCCTTCCTACAGGGTTTAAAATATTTTTCAACAAATGTATTACCTTCAAAACACAGCCATAGAAGTTAAATTTCTACCTTGAGCTTTGCCAAGGAAAGGGGCACAAAACAAACTCATACGTAAAAGATCAAAGGCATGAAGACTCAATTCTGTCAAAGGTGAGAAAAATGCATTGGACCCCTTTTCTAGTGAGGAATAGGAAGAATTACCTGGTAATTTCCCATGGGAAAAAGGATGTTGCAGAGCAGCACAGGGGCCGTGGCCTGCCCTGGTCATTCTGTGAATGTCTCCTTTGAGGAGGGTGTGGAGCTGGTCCCACCATCCCGCTGCTTGTCTCCTCCTCCCTGGCACTGCTATGCTTGTGTTCAAGCATTGAGAAGTAGCTAGAAGTTAAGAAATGTTGCAGTGAATGGTAGAAAAGGTTTCAAAAAGGAGATTAAAGCCTGACAGGGCAGCCCAAGGCCTGTTGTCCTGACACAGACCAAAGGTTGCATTAGATGCCACCTTTGAAACAAGGAGAAAAGCGATCAGGAAATTAGTATGTCAAACGTGATGCTTGAGAAGTTTGTTTTTTGCAAATCATGTGCCTGTGGTGTAGGATGAGTTGTAAAGCAATACTGTACTCTGGGGTCTGGGTAGAGGAGACAGGGACAGCCCCCACTGTGGCTCCCCTGGGGCAGGACCCACAGGCTGGGAGAGAGTTTACTCCAGAAGCCTGATCTTCCTTCTTGAGCAGGACTTCGAGTCCAAAATATCAGCTGGGGCACTTGGATCTGACTCCTGGATGAGCACAGTGCCTGTGGGTCAGGCTGAGATCAAACATAAACTCTGCTTTCCTCTCTTGAGTCTCTTCATGCTGTTGCCTCTCTCATACATTTTTTTTGTTGGTGGTGGGTTTTTTTCCCCTGATCTTACCTTCTTTTCTTGTTCCAAACTGGTGTAAATTGCCCCATGTGTGAAAATAAACAGCAGCCTCAGTCAGGCTCGGTATTTCACAGTCACACCTTCCACTTTCTGTGCTTATGTATTTATTCAGGTCTGTTGCAGTGGTTCCTCATCACGGTTCGCCCTGTGGTCTCCCGAAGCTTGAAGGTGTCACACCTCTGGCCTTCCTGCGTTACCCATTTCAGAGTAAGCATAACCAAAACCTTAAGGCCAGGGAAAAATTCAAGCCGGAAAGATACACTTGGATGGGAAATATATGTATCTATTTTTCAGTAGTGGCAAACATTTAAAGCTGCCCCAGAGTCTTAAATACTCTAATGGCAATGAAACCAGATGGGGCTGTCAGAGGCACCCAGCAGCATCCAATTAATAGATTATGGGATCACGTAATAGATATGTATCTATAGGTACGTAATATGTATGTGATCAATAGATCATGGGAGCCTAGAAATTTATCTTGGGGATATCAAAATATGCATGGTAACATTTCCTAATTAAACAAAAGAAAACCCAACCTGTGGGTGAAGCATCGGATGGAACAATGTTATCAGACCTCGCTGGGCAAACACAAGGAGCGCATAAAAGGAGCTGCTCCAAAGGAGAGTGGCACCTCTCCTCCACCTGCCTTTCAGGAGCAATGGATCTCAAAGTGGTCTGTGTGCTCTCCGCCATCCTCCTCGTAGCCCTCAGCACCTTGGCCGAGGGAGCTGCAGCACCATGTAAGTACATTCATCTGCTGTTGCCTTCACAGGTATGTATGTGGGCCTGATCCTACTGACTGTTACTGCAGCAAGACCATGTCTTCAGTTTATGTATCGGTCAGCAGATGTCTTGCTCTGATGCTATTACCAACTTTGGAGTCTACTTTTTAATTTTTTAAGAGAAATCTATGGCAAAATAAAAAATACTGCAAGTGAGCTCTTCTGTTGGTGGAATAACCAGGAAGCTGCTACAAAAGTAGAAGGACAGACATGTCCAGGGGCTCACTAGAAGAGGATCAGGACAGGAACAGCAGCTAGCTTTGTCTAGATAGTCTTCACACGTTTATTTTATGCTACTTTGCCACCTGAATACAATTTCAGAGAAGTCTATCTAACTCCTTAATAAGAGACAAGTCATTTAGACAACTTAAGAATTGGAAAGCAAGTAACTCAATGGCAGACATCTAGAGACATCTCCAGAATTGTTTGGTTGCAGATGATGATGCCTTAAATGTTAAAAGTATGGCTGCAACTATTTGCACGTAATCCTATGTTTTTATAGTCACCTGATGATAATGCAAAAATTTTATATTTTTACACCTGTTTGAATATCCACTGGACTCTTTCTTCACGTGGGATGGGCAAAGCAAGAGACATTTGCTAGCATGACATTTGAAGTTATGGATTTTTATCATTTGATGTGGTCTATTTGAAATCCAGAGACCGCACTGTGCTGGGCTGGGACCACAGGTTCTCAAAGAGTGAAGTGCAGCCCTTACCGAAATTGGTGGGAGTCTGAAAGAAGCTTTTAAACTCCACAAGTCCTGGTCTAAGCAAGCAACAGATAATGTACACTTGCAAAGACAGAGTCCAGGGGAAGATTGCTCTTCCCAGTGGACATCTGATAAATGCACCTCTGCTAACAAGTGTGTGAACTGACACTCAGCAACTCGCTATTTCTGTTCTGAACAGCAAGATGTCAGTGTAAACTGGCCCCCAGGGAGCGGAGGAACTGTGGCTACCCGGGAATCTCAGCAATGGAGTGCAGGAGAGCTGGGTGCTGCTTCAACGCCTCAGTCCCCGGCGTCCCCTGGTGCTTTGCTCCTAAACCAAGGAGAGGTAATATCTCTGCCTGAAACACTGTTTTCCCTAGTGCGCGATTACGTGGAAATGTGTACGTCCAGGGACCAGCTCTGCTTTTCTTCTTTTCTTCTTAGGTGGCACAAACCTCTATTAGAAGACCACTGGTAGTAAAATGCAAAGTCAAACCTTACCCAACAGTCTTCTACCTTATTCTCTTCACACAAGATATTTCCTCTTCCTTCAGGCTTCTGGTTTGCAAATAACCCATGCTGATTATTTAAAAACATTTCATTGCCAGTCGTGGTCTCACTCATCAGTGAAGCAAGGGATCCTCAGCACTTATTTAAATGGATTTTCTATGTGGCTGAGGAGGACTTTAGTGCTGCACATCAAAGAAATCAGAAAGTCCTAAGTAGATGAGTCTATCTGTAGTTGTTTGACACTTGTCAAACAAAAGACCACAGACATGCCGCAACTTCTAGGTTTTTTTGCTCTCTTCTCCAGCCTGTTTTGATAATCACTACTTCCTTCCTTTCCTGCCTGTTTCCCAGTATCATTTCGCTCGGTGGTTCTTTTTTCTTTCCCATTTTTGCTCCCAGTCTTCATTCAATGATATTTCCAAAATATCCCAGGGGAAAACACTTTCTTCATTAGATTCTTCCTTCTAAAGCTTCTAAACTCCTGCTTCAATTTTTTTGCCATTGTTTTCACAGAGAGGGCAAGAGCTGCTCTCCCGGTCCTTCAAGGACTGGATGTGTATTTTACATGAACGTAAACGTGTGTAAGCTGAATGTAAGCCACATTTGCTGGGCTGGCTGCGCAAACTCCTGCTTAGGAGAACTTCAGGGCAATCTTAGCAGTTGCACAGGTGAAAGGAAAGGAAATGAGGGTGCAAAGGCAATGTTACCCAACAAAAGAACTTGATATGAATTCAGATTGGTCAACAGGGCTCAGAATTGTTGGAGGAAAAAAATGATTTTTCTTTAGAACACTGCTTGCATTTCATTAAAATCTTGAAAAGCAAATGGCAGCAGCTTACAGTGTGATTTTCATAGAATTGATTTTCAGAGTAGAACTGTTTTAGAAGTGGAAAACTGACATATTCAGGTTGGGTGGTATAACCTCTTTACCTGTCATTTTTCTTTTTAATTGCCTGGATGAGATGTGATTTCCTCCTAAATGACCTGTCTCCTTTCCATAGCTCAAGCTGGCATGCAGAGGAGGCTGAGTTTTCATCTCCCCACGTTATTAACTAATAATATTGCCTTGGAGTTAGCATTGGGTCAGGTCACAGATATACCCTAGTGCACGCCTAGTGTCTGTGATGCCATTAAAGGAGACATTTGGCTCTTGAACCCATTGCTGGGTCTAGGAAAGGTAAAGTGGAGTCACTGCATGACAGGCATTTCTAGGGGCAAATTTTGCCCCCTCTGGCCCCTGGTGCACAGCAGCAACTCTTCTCACCCCTTGCTATTTAGGTTTGCCCAACAGGCATGGTAAGGGTGAACCTGCTACCTGAAATCAGTATGGAGAGGGTTATCGTGGCTGTCACGTCGGCTCACTGACCTCACCTTCGTGCTCTGGTTTTTGTTTGTGAATTATGCTACCAGGTAAATGGAGCATAAAGTAACACATCCTCCTTTCTTCCTGAATTTTTTGCTTTACACAGTTAGGAAAGTTTGTCCCAGTGACTCTCACATCCGGATAAACTGCGGCTACCCTGGCATCTCGGCTTTGGAGTGTGAAAGGAAGGGGTGCTGCTTCAGGTCACATCCTGCTGGTGTCCCCTGGTGCTTCCACCGCCGCGTCGTGGAGGAAGGTAAGGTCCTGCACAAGACATGGTCCCCTGCATTCATGGGGATGCTTGGCGTGCTCTGCCAGCCCAGCGTGGCAGGAGGCCGTGCTTGAGAGAATGAAGAGAATGGGGTCTCCCCACCTTCCCAGTGCAGGTGCAGAGTTTCCTCATGCAGGGTATGAGTGGGAAAGGGGTGGCTAAACCCAAAAAGACCGGCTTCTTGGACCCACTGGGGTGGGTGGTGCTCACCCATCTGAGCCAGGGACCTGTGAGCAATGCACAGGTAACCTGGGTTTAGAGGTGAGCACAAGCCTTCAGCTAATGCAATGGTAGAGGTGTAGCTACCAAACTCACAGCTACTTTATCATAAGAGATAAAAGGTTTTGCTTTGGAAATGTGGAAAAAACATTACAGAAATTTCTGATCCCCTGCTTCCATTTTTTTACTTAGAATTTAATTAGGATTGACCTTTCAGCATATCTACTGTAGATTACAAATAGCCTCGGCCAATTCCAACCTACCTCACAGTGTATTTTGTACTGGAAACAATTCAACATAATTTGGTTTTACTGATCTGAATCGCAGTTAGGAAACACATGTACAGATGAAGGGGAAGGGAGCAATTGCTAGAAAAACATATTTTTGATATCCTGCATCTAGGCAAACACTTCCTAGCATCTTCTGTAAAAGAGATTTGTTGAAAAAACATATCCCTTAACTTGTTCCTGCTCTT